TTAGTGGAGATATGAAAAAATAATTTGGTAAAACATAAGACTAAGTATATGGAGGTGATGCAATGAAGAAAAAAATGATGGACATTTGGTACAGTGGGAGAGGGTAGGAGGTAATGGGAGAGGTGAAGAAGAAACACAAAGAGATAATGAGAGAAGAGATAATATAAGAATAAAAAGGAGAAAATGTAGGTACAATGGATAAGGTGTATGGAAGCTAAAACATGATACGAGAGAAAATAAAAGAAAAACTAAGATTGTGTGTACATCGGTATGATAAAAAAAAAGGAATGGAGGTGTGGGGAGGTAATAAATTTAAAAAAAAAAAAAAAAAAAAAAAAAAGTGAGGGGTAAAAGTGGAGGAGAAAGCTGAAGATAGAGGCCCCACAGTCCGTGGCTGTCAATTCAACAAAGAGTGAAAGAATGGCACCACCAATGAATACAAGGTTTCTTCCCACATAACATACCTCATTTACGATATAATCTAAGAGCTCAAATATGGCCATTGGACGAGGCCCATCACTGCCAGGCACGCTTTGGAAGCTAAAGTTACTTCGGCTATCTAAAGGCAAGAAAAAAAGCAAAGAGCAACTTAATAGAGAAAAATACGCAGGAGAAGCAGGCTGGGCGATCCATACGTGCAGGTCAAGTAGTCATGCTGTCCAGTGAGGGCAGTTACTCTTGATTTAACACTGACCCAGCAGAAGGAGACACCAGTACCCAACAGGACACCTTACACCAACACAGATCCTGATATCTTTCTATGTAATCTCATTCCAGAATATTCTGTGTGTGTGTGTGCTTGAAGTCAACACCCAGTGGCAACAGTCTAATTCATGCTTAAATGCAATTATCAGGCCATAACAGTTGTGTTTAAACATATAAAGGCCGTTGCTGTTGGGTGTTGACTTCAATGTTCACTTTTATATTTACATACACTTGAACACATAAAAATAGCATACCATAAAACTATTTTTTATCATATCCACACACACACACACACAGTGTGTGTATGTGTGTGTGTGCGCGCGCACATATGTATCAAAGATTTCATTTTTCACTGCTTACATAAAATATAGAATAAGGAGCTAAACATATTTTCTAATTAATGAAAGCAATTGCTATTATTCAAAAATTTCTCCTGAATGATATTAAAGAATTTAATATTAACTTCAAATAGATATGGTTGAATTGAAAACTCTTCAGGTTTTATCAGCTCAACATTCAACTTCTGTCAATTTCTAACTTCAAAAAGCATGTTGGTTAGTTTTGTACCCCAAATAAAAACATGTTTCATTAAAAAATATTTAATGAATTATCTCTACAAATCTACTTTAATTATCAGTTTCGAAATTAAATCAATTTATTCTTCCAACAAAAGTTTCCTCATAAAAAGATGAGTGTAGATAAGTAATTTCAACTTCAAAATAAAAGTTTGTTTTAATAATCATTTGTTTTCAACAAGTGTGACAAGTTTATCAATAATTTTTTTTTTTTAAAGAATTGCAATATTAAAAAAAATGACACCTCAAATCTTATCAAATGAAAGAAGTGCATTTCAGATGATTTTACATGATCATTTTCAGATGATCATTAGGATTTTATTCTTTATGAAGGTCTTAAATAAATATAAAATTTACAGTCCTATATTCTAAGTAAAAGCAGGAAATCAGAAAGTTTCTATTCCTATTTCCAGTAAATTTGCACTGGTGGAATTTGATATTAAATATTTCATCATTGTCTATATTAATCACATGACCATTTTCAATAAAACTAACAAAGACTCTCCCACTATAGATGCTGAAATAGATTGTGTAAAAAAAAAGTGTCAGCAGTTCCTAGTAAAAATTGACTGTTCATTTGTTTTTGTATCTGTTTATGATGACCTTGAAAATATTAGTATTTTAAAAATATATCCCCCAAAAAGGTTATATTTGAAATATAGCATAAATATTAAAAACTATATAATACATGGAATTTTCTACTTTTTTCTTAATATTTACCCACCCATTTTTAAGTTTCTGGCTGATTTACTCTATTCCTACTCCAACCCAAGCTGATACAAATTAAAATGTCCAGCTTCATCCACTTGGAGATCTTGAAAGGCATTAGGATCAGTGTTGGTAGGCTTGTTAATTTTTTTTTTTTTTTAAATAAAAAAAAAAAATAAACACATCTGTTGGCTGTTGGTGTCTTGTCAAGAATTGGCACTGGTTACCTCGTGTACAATATATTCCAGAAGTTCAAATATTGCCATTGTAAGGGGCCCATCACCTGTGACCACCTCAAAGCCCCCGGGGCAACCTGAAAGAGATGACAATCCATTCGGTTGACCACTAATTAATCACATTAACAGGTGACAGACAGCTATCAAGAATTGAAGACAACATATACATCAGGTTAACAACAACATGACAAATAAAAAGTAAAACTGTATTTTTTAACAGGAGACCTAAAAATTAGTCCCCACCCCTGGAGATCTATATAAATTCATTTAACCTGGTTATTTAGTATGCTTAAATGGAAATTTTAGGACAAATATGTACCATAAATTTACATTAAGTAAATGCAAACAATACTTGATATTAAAATCATGGCCACAATGTTCTCTTCTACTAAAAAGGCAGAAAATAGCCATGAAAATTTATCCACAGTGGCCATTAATAACATGGCTGCATTTACTAACAGTTAATTAATGTTGAGTTGATATTTAACTATAAAATGCTTCTAAATGGATATGTATAGTGAAATTAATCTCTTCTATTGGTGAATGTTTTATTGCTATTTAGGGGTTATGTTTATGGATATTAGTATAAAATAATATTTCCACAAAACCTCAATAATTCATTAGAAAAAAGAATTACAGACTTACAGCCTTGGAAGTAACTTCAGAATTATAATAACAGGTATAGAACAAGATCAATCAATTTTATAAGGTTATTTGTGACTTAAAATTACTTTTGCAGTCTAATTTACTTTTTATTTTAATATGTAATTAAAAAGCATTTCTTTTGAAAATGAGGTAACAACTCTTTTTTATCATAAACCCTTTTTCGTAGTGAGGAAAAGGTGGTACATTTAACAATGTTGAAAGTATATTTTATAGTAAAAACAACAGAAGTGTGAGATATGTAGCCATTTTGATACTGCATGAGTAAGAGACAGATTTATGGAGTTTTAAGTCAAAGGAAAGAAAGTAGCCATAAAAGCAGTTTTGTATCAGTATATTGACATTACTAAGAGATTTAGCATATAATTAAATCCTTTATTAAAACCCTAATTTCCACTTAACAGTGTTACTCACATTGAAAATGAAACACAGAAAGCCAAATAAGGCTTCATTTTGTTAAATTGGGCAGAGTGACAGATTTGCTGTGGAAAAAGTGCGCCAGTGATATTTTGAGAGCACAAAGACTCCAATATTCTATAAATCCACTGTGCTGTAATTTTAAGCAAAGACATTTGTTATTACAAACAGAAACAATAATACAATGCAAAATATGAATCCCTTTAAAAACAGGAACAGAATCAAATGTTTAACATTCTCCAAAACATTTAGAATTTCGATATATTAAAAACATATCAAAAAGCCATTGAAAACAAAACAAAGAACTATCAATACATAGCATTTTTAATGAGCTAATTAAGTTCATCAGCTCAAAAAGTGGTTTATAAAACGGTTCTAATTTAAGCAACTCATTAGTCTTTAATAATTCAAGTAAATCTATACAAATAAAATGAAATGCGTGTGCTTGGAAAATACTGGATGAATTTCAATCAAATCTGGTATGCTGATAACCTATGACACCTCCCAGGTCAAAACCTAGGTCAACATGAGGTCAACCCTGAAGATCAAAAAAGCCATTTCTCATGGAAGTTATTTATCCACATAAAAAAAAAAAAAAAAAAAAAAATACGGTGGTAAGGGAGGTAATCCAAGCTCTAATAAATGAATGTGATGGTTACTTAGTCATTTTAATAATCTATAAATAAAATGAAGCATGTCTAGAAAAAATTATTTTGCAAGGTTGTTGCAAATTACAAAATATGAATTTTTAGACAAAGATAAAGAATGTGTAAGCATTGCATTCTCACATGTATTTTTGGTTTTAAGTATAGGTTTGATTTTATTATTTGACCTTTGGCAAGCCCAGGTTTACATATATCTTTAGTTATCTAAACTAAAATAAATATAAAGTAAATGGTGTTGTAAGAAAAAAAAATCCACTGAAGCTAAGAAAACATCAAATGAATTTAGCAATAGTGCATAAACTTTGCAGAGTCACCTTCAGTTACCTCCCTTTGCCAATTCTTTGGTTCACTTGCTTGCACGCAAATGTGAAATGTTTCATCTTTCAATCAATCATGTTTTTATATCACTGTTCTTGCCTATTTTAGAAATATCCATAAATAAAAAATTAAAATATTGCTAAATTCAATACAGTATCTAAAAATAAATTTAAAAAAAGTTATTTAAGGTTTGTTAATTTTGATTTAAAAGCTTACAAGATAACAGAACATAAATAAAAAAAAATAAAATAGTTTATGCAATAAAAATACAAGTTCTTTAGATTTTACAAAAGAAAAAAACTTACCTGCAAGCACAATATAAAAAGTAATGATTTTAATACAAACAAAAGAAATAAGACTGCCTTAGAGTTCTTGACATGAAAATAAACTTTTCAAATATTGCAAATATATAAAAAAAAAAAAAAAAAAAAAAAAAAACTTTCATAAGACCAAAAGTATAAAATTATCCAATTTATATAAGTTTAACAAATTTTGAGAAAGAGAAAAAGAGCAGTTTTAAAAGTTCATTTGATAGAACAAGTACTTTTACCATTGATAGTCATTGAAATCCAATGCTGTTGCACAACCCACCATTATACATCAGATATATTTAAATGACAGCTGGACCAGAAGAGATCCAATTTGATACTTCATCTCACCTTACACAGTCAACAATGACTTCCAGACTGCATTTTATTTCCCCACAACAACATTTATTTCTTCTTATCCCAGAAAGAAAAGGAAATGGGATTCTCACCAGCTGAGAAAAAAGAAAAAAAAAATTAGAATTATTCAAGATACTGATAATTAGACAATAAATGTAGTAAAATGGACATGCATATTAAATGCAAACTAATTTAAAAAATTAATTAAAAAGAAAAAAATTTGGACCTGAATTGATTATATTTTCTGCAGGAGCAATGAAGAAATTTTTAACTAAACAAATAACTATTGTTGCAAGAAAGAAATAAAAGAAGTTTCTTAAATCATTAAAAGTAAAAATATCTCCAAAGAAATAGAACACTAAATAAAAAGAGAATAAAAAGCCATGTATTCTACAGACAAATGATAGATTCTATTATGTTAACATGAATCATGTTTGCTTATTGGTATAAAATAATACTTCCTGTTACCATAGCAACAATAAAGTTAATTTTTCTGAATGCCAATAACTATATAGAACACACAATTATTTACATTAGGTTGTTCAGAAAATAATGTCCGATTTTAGAATCAACTTTTATTCCCAAATTAATGTATTTAAACAATGTTTAAATCAGCCAAAATAAGAACCTGAACATCAATACATTTCTGCCATCAGGTTACAAGGTTATTTATACCTTTATGATAAGACTAAAAGGTTTGGATGGCAAAAAAAAAAAAAAAAAAAAAAAATTTTGAATGCAGTTTCTGCATCTTCTTTGAATGGTATCTCTTAGTTTAAAAAACTGTCAATATGCTTGAAAAGGTGGGCAAGAGATCAAGGGAATATGGTGGAAGTGGCAAAGTGTTGTATCACAAGTTAGTGAGCTTCTCCAATATCATCCTGGCAATGTGGCTAAGCATTTTCATGAAACATAATTGGACTTTGTCAATTAACCAGTGCCTGTCACATTTTGCTTAAATGAATATGCATTTCATCCAGTTGCTGACAATAAACTTCAGCAGCAATGCTCTGATTAGATTCCAGAAAGCTGTAATGGATAATGCCAAAGGTGGACCAACAGAGAGTCATCATAATATTCAGTTGGTGCAATTTTGGTTTAAGGAAGTGTTTGGGTCCTTCATGAAGCCATTGAGTTGATCTTTTATGATTGTCATAAAAAATCAATTTCTCATCACAAATCACTATTCGATCAGGAAATGAATCAGTCAAATTTCAGATACATGAACACACACCAAAACATCAAACTCTTTGACTTCCACAAAGTCAATGTGGAACCCATTTATGGAGTTTCTTCACCTTGCCAATTTTGTTGAAGTGGTCCAGTACTGTTGAAATGTTGACACCCATTATTGGAGACATTTTCTGACACTTTGACGTGGGTTTTTGTTTGACTAGCATTATCAGTTGTTGATTGACAATTGCCAATAGACATTTTCTACCACCTTGAAACTCATATCCACACTGTGGATCTTCAGAATGTATCACTGTACTGTCCAATCACAAGTGGAAATTTATCCCATGTTCTGTGAAGGTTGGCAGCAAAAAAAGCAAGTCCTTGAACTCATGTAAAAAAAAAAAAAAAAAAAAAAGTGAACGCATCTCTTTTTTTCAGGCGCATGTAATGTGTTAAGTTAAATTCTGAAAGAGATTGATATAAAAATTGACAAAAAAGACACTTTAATTATTACGAAAGAGTAAGACATTTTTGTGTAACTATTTTAATAATACATTAGAACACTAAAAGATTTATTCTAAAATCGGATGTTATTTTCGGAACACTGTATTCATTTCAACCAAGTTTTGAGAAACTTATATCCACAGTAGAAAATGTAAAATATGTTTTTTTATAAAGATTCAACAAAAGAATAGGTTTCACAAAAGCAAATTATTAATCCATCAAGACTAATATTTTCAGTTGTTTTTATTAGTTCTGTTCTTTTGAATGAAAGCAAAGTTAGAAATTTCTCAACTTGAAAGTTATATCACAAGCTAAGATTTATTTTTTTTTTTAAATCTAAGCTTACAATACTTACCTGATCAAATACCTAATACATGTATTTACTAAATACTTGATAAATTGATTAAGAAAGTTATTAACATTGGCATAAGAATATCAATACAGAAAAAAATTGCCAATGAACAATATGAAAAATATGAACAATGTGAATAACTTTTGCTGTAAGAATTTTTAACCATTTGTATGAATCAAATAAATTTTAATGTAAATGTTTAATACTAACATGAATATTTGCAGGTTATTTAATAAATTGACGAATTGTTACAATTCAAGAAACCAGAATATAAACTTCCTATCAACCAGCTCATAAAAGTAAATGAAATTATGAATAAGTCATAAAAATAAAGTCTAAGCCATACTTATAACAAAAATTTATAATTATGGCTAATGTTTGATCATTATTGTAGCATAGTAAATATATATTTTTAATTCCCCAATATTTATTTTGTTTTCTACATCACCAAAGACATAGAAAGAAAAACAGGTTTTTCTCCAAACACTTCTCTCATGTAGTGGGATAATCATTTAAGTAAAATTAAACGATATCCTCAAAGCCTAACGTACAAAAACAGGGATGTCTAGTCATCACTCGTAGTTCATCTTACAAGTTTTAAATATTGTAAAGATTTTCAAAATGATTTCTATACAATATGAAAATATCAAACATTTGAAACTTATTTTTATACACCCCAGAAAAAAAAAGAAAAAGAAAAAAAAGAAAAAAAAAGATCCTAATAATTTAACTTTCTACATATTTTTTTAAAAATTATAAACAAGATTTATATTTCAATGTTAAGTGTGCGTGTGTATTTTTATTATATATATATATATATATATATATATATATATATATATATATATATATATATATATATATATATATATTCCTTTTTGCAAGAGGAAACAATAAGCACTGATCTTATGCGAGAAAACTACTAATAACTGATTAATCTATATGTCTAATTATCTTTATGAATAGAGATCTTTAAAGAAATGGTTTAGAAAAAGAATCATTATTTACCTTTTAAAGGTTTCCCAGTCATGGCTGCTTCCATGTGTTCTTCCATACAATTATCACCAAATATGCTTTCCAAGTGTTCAGGATCTGGAGGTGGGATAGGGTATCTCCCGATGGCCATTTCCACCAGCGAAAGTCCTACACTCCAGATATCTGATTGGACTGTGTACTGTGTTCCTTGTAATCGTTCCGGCTACAAAACAATTGGTCAGCATTCTGAACTGAACAGAAAGAACCTTTTTTCTTGTGTGGCTGTGATTTATTTATCTTTATTTAGAAAACTTGTCAAGCATTTTCAAATGCTGAAATTTAATAGGTCATCTAACTAGAATGCTAAGTGTAAATATACTGAACCAGTCATTTCATTTAGGAATATCAGAAACACTAGAGAAACAGCTATTATTAGAAATTCATACAAGATTAGGCTTTGCTAATTTGGGACTGCCAGCTACTTGTATAGAAAACAGAACAATTGAAAATATTTGAACTGGAATTTTTATAACTTTTGTTCCACAATATCAATAAGCCAAACAACATTAAAGATGTCACTTTAGGAAAATAAGTTTTCTGTATTACCTTTCATTAGGATGCCAATTAAATAGAAATCTGGAATTTTTATAAAATTGGGCCTTTTACTAAATTTAAAATTTAGTTTTAATTTTTTAATACACTGCTTTAAGAGAAGATTTCTTAGCTATTGCTTAAAATGAAAATATTTTTAAAAAGTACAAAAACTACTATTGTTAGTTTTTGGCCAAATATTTTTTTCTTTTTGAACAGAGCAAGTTAATTAATTGCACAAGAACACGAACATATCTTAACCAAATCTTTTAAGAGTCAAATTATAGAGTAAAAAAAAAAAAAAAACTTTTGATGAATAAAGCTTTTTCAAGCTCATTTTAAATAACATTTTAGTGATAGGATTTTTATATATATATATATATATATATATATATATATATATATATATATATATATATATATTATATATCTGATGATTATTTTGTTAAGTATTTGAAGCGTTATTAAAGTGAACAACAAACAAGTCTGTACTTGTCAATTTATTCAGTATACTTTCAAAATGAATGATTTTCAACTAGAAGCTAAATCTGAAAATACTGTCCAGTTTTGCTTCAATTTTTTAAAGCAATGTCTCTTCACAGCTTCTCTTTAGTATGTAAAAACTGCCATGACTGTTCTTGCAAAGTTTCTTCAATGTCCTCATCATAGTTTTAAATTAAGAGGAGGTCCTAGATTGGTCACCTCTACCAAGGTTATCTATAGCCTGATATTTTACATATTAGGAAAGGTTGATTCATGTCTTTTCCATGGGTAATAAATAATACAAAGTAAATACAACAGCCTTGGCCAGAATTCAAACTACCTGACAATTCCATTTTCTGTACTGACACTATGTTACCTGAGCACCCCGAGTTACAGAAACATGATAATGAAACAAAAATAACTTAAAAAATGGATCCAAATAAAAGTTTATCACAATGATGCTAACAAATTTAAGATTACAATTTTTCTAATGCAAACATGGATGGAATAAGTATCATTTTCCCAAATAACCAAATGGGATTCATTTGGCAATATTACAAGAAATATAAACTTGTCTATTATGAGTTATAGAAAAAAAAGAAACTGAATTAGATAAACTATTGAAGCTGAATTTGTTGAAAATCCTTAAATAAAACTTGTGTTTAACGAAAATGAAAATACTGACTTTCTAGCAATACCTTAAACATACTACAGTATAATAAAAATGTTTTAAAAAATTATGCAATTAAACAGACTAATTCATTTAATATTTTAAAGATTACGTAGGCAATATGAATTAACAAGGAATAAAATAATTGATGTTTTTCGGGGGATGTTCCTTCACTACATTTATTAAATCAGAATGTTATGTTGAACAATTTGCCTTGATCTTAAGAAAGAAGAACAATTAACAAAAAAAAAAGAAAAAAAAAAAGTATAAAATTGGATCTTTTTACTTTATATTAATTCTTAGAAACATTTTTTAGTAACAGCAATAAAAATAAACACTCAAAAAGAAATCACAAGAGTAAATGCATTCTATCAAAATTTGAGAAATGTCTTTAGCCTTAAGTCATGTAGAAAAAAATTTTGCTCATAAATATATTTACAGAAAACAAAACAAACCAAATAGATTTGCTCACTAAAGTATTTAATTCATATTGAAGGATAAGTAAATGTAAATGTGACACTATTAGATGCTGAAAGAGTTAAGGTATGGCTCGATAACTATACGAAGAAACAAAGGTGGAGTGATGTAACACTATAAGACACTGAAAGGGTTAAGAGATAGCCTGGTAGATATACCAAGAAATCAAGTAAGATTTTATTGACTTTAGAAAGTTTATTTTCTTCCATGAATAAACACAGAGAGGAAGTGTGGTTGATTTGAAGCAAAACAGCTTTATTATTTTGAGGAATTTAGCCCAAAATCCATCTAGATAATTTAAACCCATGAGGGGTGGGGAAAGATGGTGTAAGAACATTCAAAGTTGTCTGGGACTTTTGCTAAATAAGGCAAAAGTAAAGACATTGATTTATGTCCACTCTCTAAAGTGTGGATTTTTAGAAAGTCTCCTTATGACCACAGGCATGAAAGGGAATCGATGGAGAGAGAATATTTTTATGGTTTTGAGAAACGAAGGTAAAGTTAAGAGGATTGATTCATTTCACTTGTCAAAAAGGGTGGAAATTGTAAATTGCTAAAGAAATAGAATTTCTTTAGATAAGAATCGAACCCTGAGTGTCACAAGTTGAAACTTGCTAAGAAGGCTGTTAAAAGGAGCAGCTGGCGAATGTCCAACTGAGGGAATGGGGCCTGGGCGAGGAATTCTGTTGATGAAAATTTTGAGTGATAATTAAAATTAATGATTTGGAGCTAAGCCACGCCTGTTTGGCCACACAGTCTAAAAATCAGATTTGTCAAAATGACAACTGAAGTGAAGGGCTCAGGTGAAATACCAAGGGGGATGGAGGAATTGTCTGCCGAAACCAAACCAATACAATGATTGCTGTTGACAATTCGATCATTGCCAGCCTTGTGATCAAAATTAAACAACATGGGACAAATCTTGGATCGAAGTGATCAACTCAATAATCAGCCACGGGGATTGGACATGTATGAAAATTATAAATAAAAAGCAAATATGGAAGGTTACTACAAAATAAACAAACCAATAGAAATATCTAGTACTTACAGACATATATGACCGTGTGCCAACAAAAGAATTTGCCATTGAGTCTATCAACTGGCCACTCACGCCAAAATCACAGATTTTTATCTCTCCTCCAGAATTAACAAGAATGTTTGAAGGTTTTACATCTGGAAGGAAAAAAAAAAAAAAAAAAAAAAAAAGTTTAAATAATTTTCACCATTGAATTTAAGTGAAAGCAAAAGAATCTTAAGAAAAATAAAGTAATTAAGATTGGTTTTATAATAAATGAATTTTTAAAAGACAATTGACTTAATATTTAACCTTTCTTTTGTAACTTAGGGAGAGAATCATTTGATTAGATGTTGAGTAAAATTACAAATCGTTTAAATTTCATGATCCACACACACACACATATATATATATATATATATATATATATATATATATATAAAACAGATTTTATGTAGACTTTCATTACAATGTTAATGGATTAAAAAGTTTTAGTTTTTTGTCACACCAAAAGATTAACTATTTTATATAAAATATTGCACAGTTTTGTTAACAGTGCCTGAAAAAGTAATTATATAATCTTTATGCATTTTATCATGAAGATCTGTAAATTCACCTTGAATTATACAAAATAAAATTACAATTTCTGATCTATTGGTCAAAATTTAAAGCAGCTTACCTCTGTGCATAATTTGATGCTTTTCACGTAAGTAACTCAAACCTTTTAAAACCTAAGATAAAAATAAAAGTGTTTAGACAATCTTTAAAATACTTAACCGATTTATATCACAGACATCAACAGAGCTTTTGATAGCAAGATATTTTAGCAGTTATTTACTGGGCTGGGAGCAATGTCTCAAGAGACACTCAGAGATAAATGAATTCAACTGAACAGTTATTGGTTAAAAAAAAAAAAAAAAATAAAAAATAAAAATAAGATAAATAAAAAATTGTGCAATATATTAAAAGATTGCATTATTTTTCTTATACCAAGCATAACTGCCAAAGAAAATCCTGATAAAAATTAGTTATAAGAAAATTTATTCTGATAAACATTCAAATAAATATTCAAAAGAACCCAAATCCAAAAGTATACTTACAGCTATATTAATTTTTCCTAAAATGGGCTCGGGAATTCTGCCTGCCTGTTTAAGTATCAAATCCAGAGAACCTCCATTCTGAAAAGAGAGAAAAAATTAAATTGTCAGGCTTTAAAACACAGTTTCACTTTTACCAACACACAATTTATAGAACATGAAGGGAATTTTAATGAAGTTCTTAAAATGTGTTTAATGTCATAAAAAGATGGTAATTTCTTGGGCCCACCAATAGCCTGAACATGATTTCTTGGCAAAAATCAATGTGACCAATACAAGTTGACATATACAATGTAGGTGCTGAAAAGTTATTGGCTCAATCAAGAAGGGATTCTAAAATAAATTCTGAAGTTTGGGTTAGATTTTTCAAAGTGGGTCTGAACTTTTCTGCACCTTCTCACATATAGAGGGTGCGATGGGTAAATTGTTGCCTTTTTATATTTTTAATTTTGTGCATGCACATTGCTTTTGCTTTTGTTGACTGAACAATAGGGTCAGTTGGGCACCATGATAATTCACACAGCCAGAAATTCCGAAACAGCATGCTGTACAGCTTGGCATTTGTGCCAGAAGCTTCAATACAAACATTTCAGAGATTTTTAGTGTCAATCTGAGGACAGTGCAGAGGATTCGAATGAGTTGGAAGAGTCTAATGGCGATTATGAAGGTACAGCAACTCAGAAAACTCACTCTGATCATTCTGATCAGAAAAGAACTCCTGAATTTGTTGATGAGACCTACATCAGTTTATGCTACCCGGGTCAAGAGGATGGCTGCTGAAATATCTTATGTCTGGCAACAGGACTCTGCACCATGCCACACAAGCAGGAGAACCCAGTCATGGCTGCCAGACAATTTTTGCATTGAATAAATTTATTCTTTAGTATTTGAAGATATTTTGTTTAATTTTGGTAAATATATCTGTTAAATGAGATGTCAGTGTTATTTTCATTTTTGCATAATTTAGACAATTTATCCATTGCACCCTGTACATATAATATATGTGATTACGTAAAGTAAATTTAAGGTTCTTGCAAAAAAAAAAAAAAGAAAAGAAAAAAAAGTTTAGTATAAAATAAATAATCCTGATTTGTGTATGTCTGAGTATAGATAAAATTGCTTAACAAAAACCAGTTTTGATGCATTTTTACAAATAGTATTTAGTTTGGAATAAATAATATTGGGGATGATCTTTGAACAGGGATAGGATTTTCTGCCATTCAACAAAACTAACATTAATCAAGACTTTAAATATAAATAGGATTTCATTATATCTTCTGAAACAATTAAACAAGGGCATTTATTTTATATATTCCCAAACAAATTTGTTAAATTCAACTAATAAGGTTTGTCTATTTCATTTTTTTTTTTTTTTTTTTTTTTTTTATTATATACCAAAATCATTTGAAAATGATAAAATATAATAAAAAAATTAGACTTTGTTGGTTGAATTTAACAAAAATTATTTGAGTGAATGTGTGTGTGTGTGTGTGTGTGTGTGTGTGTGTGTGTGTGTATATCTTAAATCAACCAATGACTACAGATGACCATCTCAGAAAAATCTAAGGAAATTCTTTGATCATATTTAAATCCCAAATATTATATCTGTATAATTAATAATTTTAAAATCAGAGTATCTTGAAATTTCACACAATTTTTTTTTGCATGTACAGGTTTGAAACTTGGTGACAGTTAATATGTTACAAAAATATAAATAGCTTAGGTGCATCTTATGTACTTTTATTAGGACCTGAAAATGGATGAAATGCAAAAAGATGCTGTCTGCTTTGAGAGTTTCTTATTTACAAAGTATGTAAGTTAAAACATCCAAATTAATTTTGCTATCATTTATGACTGAACAGATTATTTTTATGCAGTAACCATATTCATTCCTGTTATAGGAATGTCAGAAGATTTGTTTTGTGGACAAACTTCTGTTTAGAGTTAAAACATTTTTCTTGGACATGATATTCCAGAATCATAGTTTTGTCATGTTTGGTACCTTATACATTTAATACTTAAGAAAATATGAAACTAATTTGGCACCCCATATAATTTTCTATGTAAAATCTATTTTTGGCTTCATCTTACATTTGTTCCAAATAATTTAGAGGCCCTTAAAATGTTGAATTTTTTTTTTTTTTTTTTTTTTTTGGAGATGTTTTACAAAATTTTTAACTAAACTAAACCAAAATAAAGATTCCACTAGATTATTTTAATTTCAAATACATCGGATCAAAATTTGTAAAAATGCATCAAAACTGGTTTATGTTAAGCAATTTCAAAGACATACACAAATCAGGATCATTAGGAAGGTAAAAATCATATTAAGGATATTTTAAAGGAAATAAATATTTAGCTTTAATGATAATAGTCAATACTTTCAATGATAAGCCAGCATTTTAATTAGCAACTTAAAATGTATTCAAAATTGCTTATATTTAAAATTTCATGTATTAATTTAACGTAAATTCAGTAATGTTTTGTAATATCTTGATAGTTTGCTTTAAACATTACATACTCAAATACACTAAAACCTTTTTTCCCCTCCCAAATATAACCTGCTGAAATGGATGTGTATCTAATATCTTTTATCAAATATGGTACAGATATCAAATAGAAGGATATGAACTTTCAAATCTCATAGCAAGTCTCCAGTGTAATAATCGTATTAAATGATTTAAATATATGCATAGTTTAGTACAAACCAATTCATGTATAAATATTTCTTTGTACAGAAATTAAAAGATAAAAATTGCATTATCAATAGAAATTTATTCTAGATAACCAACAACATGAAAACTTAAAGAGAAAACCAACTGTTCTTGGTATTTATCCTTAATCTTCACATCCTATCATCTATTTTGCTAATATCGCACCACATTTATCATAACCATTTTAACAGTAACCCTGTACCTTGAGTGGCTCTTGAGCCTTCTATTGGATGAACCTTTATATAGAAAAAGAAAATGATTACTGAAATTTATTTGGGTTATTTATAAGAATTTGATGGCTCAGATGAAGGCTAATTTTTATTGGGAATAATTTGTTAATTAGAATTTGATAAACCAAAAAACAAATTAATGCAATACATCATGCATATTTTTACTGTATAGAATATCAATGATGAAATTCCAAGTTGGAAGGACATGCTGGTCAACTTTTAACTTGGTGACCTCTTATGTTTAGTTTAGTATCTACTAGAAGTGTTGCTATTAGTTAGAAAATGTAAGTGGAGATTCAAATCTTTGTTGACTTGTGATTTTTTTTTTTACACACAAGATTCAGCACAACTTGTCATTATACAGACTGTCACACTGAGATAGATTGCCAAGATGCAGTAACATATGCAAGTTTTATATATATATATGAGAAAGAGAAGAAGGAGGAAGCAGAATATATAAGTAATGTAATTCCAATTCAACATTTAGTGTCAAGTATCTTTCGAGGATTTAAAAATATAATGATAATGATCTCGGCTGTTACCTCTTTAAAACTATGGAACTAAAGAGATGTATTTTTGGATACACTTCAACAAGAAAAAAAATGAGAGCTATTTAAACATCTTCAGGCTCTTCAATGTATTTGCTAAGTAAACAGATTCTTTAAAAGACTTAGAAAAAAAACAAACATACTAAATAACAGGATTATTTAAAAAATTTTAAATTGCAGGACTAGAAGGGAATATTTTTTATACTGTTTGAATTTTTTATCATGTTTTAAATAAATACATAAAGAAACTAAAGATTCGTAAGCAAGTTTATCAAAACAAAAAAATGTAACTTATTTAATATTTTAAATTTTGATCTTTGAAAAGGATTAAAGTAATTACTGAGAATAGCATCATTCAAATATGTCAATCTGTTCAAAATTACATCCATTTAGAGTAACCTTTTAGTGAATATATATATATGTTTAATAATTTTACTTATGGTGCCTATAATCAACTTTCAGAGTTTAAGTGGTGGTATTGAATAAATTCCATGCAGTGAATTCAGACCACTTACCATATATTCCATTAGGATATTTATCTCTCCGTCACAGAAGAATGCAGTGTAAAAACCTACGATATATGGCGAATTACATTCGTGGAGTACTTTGAGTTCTCGAAATATTTGATTTCTTACTGATGGTTTCACTTCCAAATGAATTAACTGAAATCAGAAAGAAAAAGTTTAACAGAAAAAATTTTTTTTTTCTTATCGACTTCTATACTAACTCAATTCAGATAAGCTTAAAAGTCAATGTTCCTTTTGAACCAAACAGATAAAGTTTCCCATGACTATCAAATTGATACTGATCAAGTATGATGAATACTTTCAATTATTTCCCTCACTTTTTAAGACAATGTTAATGCCTTTTGATTTTCTCACTGTAAATGAATGTGAAATGTGCTTTACAAGTTTTTTGTTTAAATTCTTCAAACTTGAGCAAAATTTTGAATTATACAAAATATTATCCAGAACTTGGAGAACATAAATTTTTTTTTTTTTTTTTTTTTTTTTTTTTTTTACACACACACACAAAGATGAAACCTGAAGATATTTTCCAGACTCCAGTTACAAATGCAAAATAGAAAAATAAAGTTGAATGCATAGTCAACAGAATTAAATAAGACACCCGCTCCCACCAGCCTTGCATAATTTGAAAGTGTTGGAAAACAATTGTGGAATGTAGTATTTAGCTTCATTAATGACTATAATATTTAGTCTAACCTCCCCCCACCCCCACCAAAAAAAAGTAAAACCAGTGTACTGTCATCACATTTATATGGTTGTGTTTACAGGTATTTTCATGATGAAAGAAAAGGTCTTGTCAAAAGCAATTTGGCAGATTTTTTTTTAAAACATTTATTTTATAAACAAAGAAAAATAATTTTGTGACATTTTGCTTCCAGATTTTTAAATGATCAAGTGAAGCACAAATAAAATTTGAGTTTTCTATTTGCTTTGAAGAACAAACAAACCAAAAACATTTAATTTATTTAATAAATGATACTCTTTAAAGAGGTAAATATTCAACTTTTAAAGGAAATGATATTTTTGCACAAAAAAAAAAAAAAAAAAAAAAAAAAAAAAAAAAAAAAGATTCAATAGAATATAAATGCTATATATTTAGAGATTCTTGATAAAATCCAAAGACTGTAATTTTGTCAGTCCTGACCTTGGTATATTGGCTGCAGTCAGTTTCCCACCACCATAACATGGCTTCCCTATGACTTTTCTATAAATACTTTTGTGGTATTTGTTGTGATGTACTTTCCTCTATGGTATAGCCCCCATTCCCCGAAGAGCCTTTGCCCGACGCTAGTGCGGTTAGGGAGAAGGGAGAGGGGGAATGGCAGGTCGTTGGCAAGACTAAAGGGAAGATCCGGGCAGCGGAACCTCGTTCCACAACTAAACCAGTAAAAGGCACAGACAACCCCACTCCCTCTACCAGTGCAAAGGGCGACTCTTCGGCCAGCTACTCGGATAAACTCCGACAAAAGTTAATTCAATATGAACCATCCTACGAGAAGAAGGAAAAACTTATTAAACTAAAGGAAGAACTAAAATCCAAACGACAGGACGCGGAGAAGAAATCTGGCACCTCTTTGTTGGCACCATCTTCCCCTGGCACTAAACATCATTCCATGGTCCCTCCCCCTATCACTAAACCTATTAGGGAAGTTGATTCATCAATGACCACACTAAAGAAGGGACCTCGACAAAATCACCTGCTAAAAAAACATCACCTAAACATTCTCCCATGAAGACCCCCAAAACCTCACCATCAAAACACGAGCAGCAAAAGCACCAAAGAAGTCCATCTTCGGATGCTTCTGAAGCCACCACAGAAAAGAAAATCAAATCTAGACCATTATACAATACAGGGGAAGATGTGTGCCGAATTTCAAAGGAAACAGAAGAGAAGGCATTACTACATGCAAAGAAATTAAAAGATTTAAAACTCTTTTAAATTTCAGGAAATTGAACAATCTAGATGTGGAGAACCTCGGAATTTCCCCAGCAGAAGAAGGGTTCTCACTGTGGTGAGATCGGGGGTAGCTGGTCAGCAAATATGGGCCATGATGGCCAATGCAAATGAAACCTTTACCATGTTTCCACCGATGTCGTGTTTTGACGATTTAAAACGTCAAAAAACTACAACAATTTTGTTCAGGGAGGTTCCGATTTAATTTTCACCCCTCCCTGTATAGAGCTTTAAAGCTAACGTTCCCCTTGGACATTGGCGGCCTGTCTCCTGATGGCACCATCGTTAGTGAGATGGGTACAGGCTCAATGGGAGAGGCCGTCGTGTCCTGACCCGGCCATGTTCAATGCAGGAGAGCAACCCTAATCGGTTCCATCATGGCTCTCTGGTTAGCAAGTGTGAATGCCCGAGGCCTGAGGTCCGAGTCTCGCAGGGCGAGGCTCTCTCGCGATCTTCAGCGTCTCGGGGTGAATATCTGTTGTGTACAAGAGACCCGTTTTCTTCTCGTGACTATGAGAACATTCTGATTGGGGTTTTCCTCTATTCAGCATGTTTTGATGGTCGAGGGGTGTCTCTTGGTTGGTGAGCAAGTCATTGAAGGCTGCGTGTGTTCTTGTCTTCGCGGATCCGGCGAGCAGGCTTTTGCGTGCTGGATGTTACCATAAAGGATAAGGCTCTTCGTCTCATTGGGGTTTATCGCCCAATGTCCATTCTGAGCGGCCTGTTTTGTCTCGGCAGATCGAGCCGTTTTTGACGACATCACGCCGGGTAGTTTTAGTGGGTGATTGGAATGCCGTCCTTGATCCCGATATAGATCGATAGGGACAAATTCGGTACTAACAACCGGGACGTGAAACCATTTCGGGACTTTATCGACAAGTTTGATCTTGTCGATAAGTACCGAATGAATGACCCCTCGGGAGGTAGTGTGGACTTGGACAAATAGTAGCTCGGCTACTTATCTAGACCGAAGTCTTAATTAGGAGAGTCGATGTAGGGCTCTTAGGGTGTCCAAGTTTCCATGAGATAGTTTATTCGGATCATAGGCTTGTCCGGGTCCGTGTAAACTTAGATAAGCCTAAGGTTAGGATGGCTGGCTACTGGAAATTAAACTCATCATTATTTGGTGAGCAAGATTTCGGGACCAGCTTTTACTAATGATACAGAGGAACTGACGGGAGCGGTTGTGGGAAATGCCTGGTGGGATAAACTAAAATCCAAAATCAGAACGTTTGCTGCTGATTATAGTCGTCGGCTCAATCTAGATAGATTAGCGGCGCAAACGGCTTTAGAGCAGAAAGTTGATCGGGCGGTGAAATCCCATGATAGTGGGGAAATAGTTTTAGCTAAGGCAGAGTTGGCCTCCTTGCTTATCAAGAAGGATCAAGCTCTGGTAGTTAGGGCTAGGTTAAAAAGAATGTCCTCTGAGGTGACGAATATGGCCGCTGAATTGCGTGCAGAGGAGGCTCGGAATGCATCTCAGCGACATATCGCGAAAGGCGTCACATTGCCGGATAAGCGGATCGTGACAACAAACGAGGGCATATGTGAGGCTTTTCGTGACTACTTTCAGGAGCTTTTCACCAGGGAGCCCGGTCTGAGCTCTGCTCAGTTCGACTCCTATTTGGCTGACTTTCCCTGCCTCGAGGCAGCTGGAAGCAGCTAGGTGCGAGGGTCCAATTACAGAGTCGGAAATCTGGGATGCGTTGAAACAGGTTGGCCTGGACAAATCTCCGGGACTTGATGGTCTTCCGCACGAAGTGTACTTGAGGCAGTCGCCCGCTTTTTGTTCCGCTGCTGGCACTGATTTTCGGCAACTGGATGAAGCAGGGGTCTATACCCCAACGCTTCACCAGGGGCGTGATCAAGTTGTTACGCAAGAATAAAAACGGTGGGGATGGGTTAGGTAACTTTCGCCCTTTAACCATGTTAAACACAGAGTTAAAGATTTTGGCTAAGATCCTGGCTAACCGTTTGCAGGCTGTCCTGTCTAGTCTGATTGGCTCGGAACAGACTTGTGCTGTGAAGGGCAGGACTATTCAGGACAACCTTCATATGGTGCGCCTGATCATCGAGCAAGTCGACAGTGAAGCCGCGCTGATCAATTTAGATCAGTCCAAGGCCTTCGATAGGGTTGACCATCATTTTCTGGAGGCTGTTCTTTCGGCGGCCGGTTTCAGGCTGTACTTTCGCACCTGGATCCGACTTCTGTATGCGACCCCGGTGCGCTGGTGGAGGTGAATGGGGTACGATCGAGCCTTTCGTATTGTCTCGCTCCATTCGTCAGGGTTGTCCGCTATCGCCTTTGCTTTACGTTCTTGCGTTGGAACCTTTCCTTCGCAAGTTAAAGGCGAATCCGGTCCCACGTTGAATTGCCCTGCCGGTGGTAGCACATCGGCCAGGTATTCCGCCTATGCTGACGACGTTTCGGCTCTTTGTGTCGAGCAGAGCCGAGATTGACGAAAGTCAGCAAAGAAATCAGTTGTTATGAGATGGTGACAGGGGCCAAGATCAACCGCGATAAGCCTGTTGGCTTTGCGGTTGGGTGCGTGGAAGGGAGTTTCTCTTCCCGGACCTTTCCACTGGACGGATGGGCGGTCAAGATTCTCGGCGTCTTTTTCGGTCCTGATCTCCAGTTGGAGATGAATTGGTCGGAGGTGCGAGGGAAGGCCGAGATCGCAATTAAATTGTGGTCTCGGAGGAATCTTTCCTTAAAGGGGAGGGCGGAAGTTTGTGTTTCACACATCTACCCGATTCTCCTTTACCGACTCTCTGTGCTTCCACTTCCGTGTGACACTTTACTGGCGTTAGTGAGGCTCTTGTTCTCCTTCTTGTGGGGAGGCAAGGCTGCCAGAGTCAGTCGGAGATCTGTTGCCTTCATCCATCTGAAGGCGGTCTGGGCATGCCGAGCATTGAGATTCATCAACATATGCTTCGCATTAGTTTTCTGGATCGAATGTGTCGCGATTCGGATGAGGACGGCGCCTTCTGGAAGGAAGACGCCCGTAAGAACTTCCCATCCCTGAGAAGTGTGCATTCGGTGGAGGAGGAGGCCGCCGTTTACCCCGAGCCGAATGCTCCTTCTATCATGAATGTCGATTGCTCTGAAGCGCCTCTTACAGGCGTCGGATGGCCTCTCCAACGTCCAGGCGTTGTCGCGTAGGGCATTATATCAAGTTTT